TCTTGGCATTCAGCAGAGATCACAGTAGCCATACCTGCATATTTAAGTTAGAGAGGGAAGTTTGCCCCACATACTCTTATATTTGAAGTTTGATATTCCGTATTCAGCAGCAAAAGGGTTCCCTAATTTGCTCCTGCAGAAGTGGCAATGATTTGCCTAAGCTAAGATGAAAATGGAGTATGTGAAAAGGGCATTGCTTGGAAGCATTGTTTGCCTTGTTCCCGTGGCTGCGTGGCTGGCTGGTATTTAGGTAGGACTGAAACATATTTCACATTCTTATTTTGCCATAGGGTGGGGGGTATATGGCAGCATCAAGGAGAACTGGAATAAATACTTTCCTGTTATATATCTATGACTGCTGCCAGTACCAGGGTTGTTTTGCATTTAAATTTTCTATTCTGTAAAAAAGGGGCTATTGCAACTTACTTACATATCTGTGGCTGTGGACATAATATGTAGATGCTATTAGAACGTCAACATTTGCCAACACAGTTACCACTGAGATTTCCTGTTTGGAGTACAAGTAGTCAGCTACCACTGGATAGTAACTTGGCACATGCTGTCTCTTTAATTCCTAGTCTGTTTTCAGATAGTAACTATGGTAAATATTATTTCCACTTTACAAGCAGGAAACCAAAGTTTCAGAGAAGTTAATGAACTTGTCTGTGAACATTGTGTTCTGTGAATTATGCACAGGACTAGAAGCTGGACATCAGTTCAGATTGTGGTTCTGACACTAATTTATGTGACCTTGGTGAGAGTACAACTCTCTGAGATCCATTTTCCCAGTCAAACAATGACCTGTGGTCACTTCTCTGAAGCTGGTTACTTTTTCCCCAGGTGGTGTCACCACTGTAGCTTTATTTGTATTTAAAGAAAGGCCATAATGTAACTGAGGCACTAAAAGTGGCTCAAAAGCTTTACATTCACTTTAAGATGGAACCAAGAGTTGAAAGAATTGAGATGACTGACTGCTAGCTGAATCCACTGGAGGGAAAAGCTGTGATCAACCAGTCATGAAGGTGGGAAGGCCCTTGTGCTTTGGCAGAACCGCTATCACTATTACTAGTACCTTGTGTCAACTTTTGGTGATATACAGTGAAAGCAAGCAATGTACAGTGTTGGTGTAGCAGGGGGCTAGTTATTGATAGGTGAGTAGAAATCCACATTTAAATCCAACAAGACTAAGACACTTTCTGGTTGTGCAGATCTGAATTGCTCTATAACAAAATGTTAATTTTCAACACGGAAAATCTGACCACTTCAGATTGGGGAAATGGAGGCAGACTCCTTAGCATTTTGTGTAACAAAATAAAGGGAGCAGACTCTGGAGTTATCTTGCTGCTTCAGAACTGGGGATATGGTTCAAATCTCCATCAAGTGCTGGGATGTCTGAAAAAGCCCCCCCCTTTTCTAAAGGATTATTGTAATGCTGTGGAGTCTCCAAGGAGTTAGATCCCATCCACTTCTGGGTGTAGGGGACTCAACAGTAGTGTGGGAAGTGCAGGTCCCATGGCAACAGCATTCCTGTTCCTCTTAATCCCATAGAACACTAGTTCCAGTGTAGGGATTGGGGATGGTGGCTTACAGGGCAGCAACAGCGTTGTGCCATGTGGCATTCCCCAATCCTCAGTGCAGGTCACACTCAGGGGGAAACACTAGCAGCAAGGCTAGCTAGAGAGTCTGGAAACCAGTTACATAGTCCCTTGGATCTCCCAAGATCTGTGAAACCAAACTCCAGCCACTTGCATGAACCCTAGCCATTTCCACAGTGGAACAAGCCTGGACAACCCCAGTGGAACAACTGAGTGGTAACCTTGTGTAGGGGAAGTTGCTTTCTCTCTCCTGTGTGAATATTTTCTCCTTCAGGATATGATCTGGGCCCAACTGAGGCATGTGGGAGAAGCCTTTAAATAGTTACTGAGTAGCCATTGGCAATGGACAGACTACAGTTGTCCAGGTTAATCTCCTCCTCCTTTCTTTGGAAAAATAAATTCTTTCATAGAGATGGCATTTCTTCAAAAAGGGGCTGCAAGAAGTGACATGGTAATTTGTGGCTTTAGATGCAAATTTAGTGTGTGGGTTATTGTTGCCATTGGAGTTCAAAACCTTCTTATTTGTGTCCTCTAAAGTTAACTTTGACTCCCCCTGGAGAGTCAATAAATGTAAATAAAATCAGTCTCTGCTCATGGAAGCAGAAAGTCTTCTGGTTTAGTCCTTGGGGGAGGGCAGGAGATAATTTTTGGTTTGCAGATCGTTAGGATGTGATGAGCATTCTTTCCAAAGCGTCTGTTTGTTTCAAAATGTGAAGCTGGCAAGCACAGTTTGAAGGAAAATCTTTGTACAGAAAAGAAGCCAGACTACTCCTCTATTACTTGCCTTATTCGGGTAAGGCCCTTCACCGCGTCTAGAGTTGTATCACAGTGGAATTTCCAGGGTGAGGGAGGCTAAAACAGCACCTTTTTTTGGGGGGGGGGGGGTTCCTGCACAAAAGTTGGTGTATGAAACATGCAGACAAATGTCACTATTCTGTTAAAAAGGACTTATTCGGGCCCCTGCAGGGACTGTGACAAAGACCTCACGCTGTTCATACACTGTTACAATAATTTCTGTCACTAGAATAGCAGGAGGGTATGTTTCTCTGTAGTGTTGGACAGTTTGGGCCCACCATTAAGAAGAACTAGCCTTCTGATCACACTTGCAAGGGGGTTGTATATTTTTTGGGGAAATGAATATTGAATCAGAAGAGAATCAGGCTTTTAAAATAACGTTCCTATCTTGAAATGTAAAAGGAAACATATTTTTAATGTAATCAGGAAAAAAAAGTCCTTTGAAGTGAAACGAGTCTGGACTTCAGAATTAGACACCTGCTTAACTGGAGGATGAATGTGAGAGCTTTCAAATTAAAAGGCCTTTTACAAACCAGTGCTTCAAAGAACAAGCAAGCTTCTTTCCTCAGCAGAGGAGAAGACACTCTTGCCTGGGAATGTTGTCAAAAACCTTCAGCTTAACAGAGACCATGCTGTGTGGACTTTGAGCTGAGCCTTTTACCTATAACGCAGGACCTGGAATGGGAAGCATTTTTAACCAAGTATGCATGGAGGCAAGGGATGCTTTAAAAGGTACCACTCAAAGCACCTTAGACTGGGAAAACAATCTGAATAAGAACAAAAAGACTTGGACGGATAGGAGGAGGAGGAGGAGTCATTTATATACAGTAACAGGAGCACAAGGCTCAAAAGTGTATTGTGGCTCATTTGTCTGTTCTTCCATACAACCCATTTAAGAATTACAACAAGAGGAAGCATGGAGATACTAAAATAAAGGTAAATAAATTAAATAGATTTGATGTCTAGTCAGCTACTTTAACAGAAGAAGACTGACTGTTCTGACATAGGGGTAAAAAAGACGCTCTTTAAAGGAATTTAAAACTGTGTTCCAAAATAGGGGTGTCTGCCTTTGTCATCACTTGTGTGGCAAAGCAATGACTGAGATAGATCAATAATAGTTAGCCACATGGTGGGAAAAATCTAGGATTGGTTTCATTTTCCAATGTGGAGAGATATCACCATAGTGCCTACTAGTGACAACACTAAGCCAAAAGTGGGATGTTTCTAATCTCTGGACATACACAGGCTGATAGTAGGATAGGATAGGACAAGGGCTTGGTCCTAGCAAATATTTGGGGACTACATTTCATAAACCTAAATTCAGTATTTGGCAAAGGGCACAGATTTTCCAAGGCCTGTGTCATAAATATCAAGGGAAGGGTAACCACCTTTCTGTCCACAGTGCTTTAAAATCCCTCCTGGCCAGAGGCAAAACCCTTTCACCTGTAAAGGGTTAAGAAGCTAAGATAACCTCGCTGGCACCTGGCCAAAATGCCCAATGAGGAGACAAGACACTGTCAAAGCTGGTGGGGGGAGGTGGGGGGAACAAAGGGTCTGTCTGTCTGTGATGATTTTGCTGGGAACAGATCAGGAATGCAGCTCAGATCTCCTGCAAAAAGTTAGTAAGTAATCTAGCTAGAAATGCGTTACATTTCCTTTTGTTTAATGGCTGGTAAAATAGCTGTGCTGCATGGAATGTATATTCCTGTTTTTGTGTCTTTTTGTAACTTAATGTTTTGCCTAGAGGGATTCTCTATGTTTTGAATCTGATTACCCTGTAAGGTATTTACCATCCTGATTTTTACAGAGGTGATTCTTTAATTAAAATTCTTCTTGTAAGAACCTGATTGTTTTTTCATTGTTCTTAAGATCCAAGGGTTTGGGTCTGTGTTCACCGGTACAAATTGGTGAGGATTTTTATCAAGCCTTCCCCAGGAAAGGGGGTGTAGGGCTTGGGGGGGGGGGATATTTTGGGAAAGACGTCTCCACGTGGGCTCTTTCCCTGTTCTTTGTTTAACACGCTTGGTGGTGGCAGCATAGGGTTCAAGGACAAGGCAAAGTTTGTACCTTGAGGAAGTTTTTAACCGAAGCTGGTGAGAATAAGCTTAGGGGGGTCTTTCATTCAGGTCCCCACATCTGTACCCTAGAGTTCAGAGTGGGGAAGGAACCTTGACAGCCTGTCTTTTTGCTGAGGTGAATGAAGTGGTTGGGATATGGTGGGGGTGACTGTTTATGGAGGTTTCGTGAAGAGTCCTGTTTATTGGTTGCATCCGGGGTAGAGATTCCTGAGCGGTTGTTGCCAGCTTTTTGTTATGTTAAACAATCCCAAAATAGGAGATGGGCACCTGTACATCTCTTTAGTGGCATAAATGGCAAGAAAGTGAGAAAACTACTATATACTAAAGAAAATGGTCATGACTTAACCTATGGGTATGTGTATGCTGCAGTCAGAACAGCACTTGTAGGCATTCCCAAACAAACTTGATCAAAGTTTACTCGGGAATGCCTACATGAACTGCAGTCATGCCTCCAGACATACTCTAAGTGTGACCCAACAGGCTTCCTCAGCAATCCTAAAGTTCTGTATCCATCATTCAAAGCACAATATAAAAAGGTTAAAATCTTTTATTTTAGATTTTATCAGTTTTGTAACTTACAGTAAAGATGATGAAAAGTATCCAGAAAAAAGTTACAAACAATTCAAATAGAGGACGCAAGATCCTGTTGTGGATTTTTTATTTTTATTACCATTCACAGTTCACTGTCCTTTACAAATCACACCATTTATTACAATTTCTCAAAGTATCTTTGCTGAGTATTATTAAGCCAATGATTTTGGACTGCTTTTTAAAAACTCTTTATCAGGTTCAGTACTGAAAACAAACTGAAGAAAGTTGATGAGTTTATTCAATCAAATACAAGCAAAAATTTTGAAAATAAAACAAGTGCTCAGCTGGTATGAATACTTATTGAATGCAGCTTAGGGCCAAAACAATCTACTTTGGAGCTTAAAAATACACACAATACAATTAATGTAAAATAAAAACGTAAATGGCCTATTAGTTTCCATAAAAGAAGGTGAACTAAAGAAGACCAAGAAACCATAAACTAATTTTAAAGGCCTAAATAACAAAGCAGGAGTTTTTATTGTAACTTCTACTCCTGATGTATTGTAAACATTAATACTATATTAGTTTTGATATATTTAAGTACAGTAAATACAATAAAAGGTTGTATATTGCAGGTTTAGTATACTGGTTTCTATTTTTAATTCTAGTACTGTCCCATATAATAAATGAGGTACAATAAATGTCTTATATAGTATTGGTGCTACAACAGCCTTTTCCAGTAAACATCTGGAAAGTAGGGGAACATGTTCCATCCATTCTTCATTGCTAACATGAAATTACCAAAGCTCCAGTCAAACGAATGTTTTTATTTTCCAATTAGAGAACAACAAGAAAAGTCTTATTACTGCTTCTCTTGGGTCCTGTTTATGAAACTTGTCTAAGTGTTTTGCCCGTAGGTGTTTCATCATCCATAGGGCATGAGTTGTCTCATCGCTCTTTTCAAAAACAGAAAATAGCCCATGTAGCCAGTGGAGGGGATCTGGCCCCTTCCTGACAGTCATTCCCTTTCCTGTTAAGTGGGCAGAATTTGACTCAGTTTCATATTTAAATGAAACCCTTCCCCTAATACACAGTCTTCTTTCAGGCCAGATTCTGATCGCAGGTTGTACCAGTGTAAATCATTGTAGCCAGTGGAATCCATGTTGAAGTAGTGCACGCCCCACGGTCCTGTTTGACTCCTCATTAAGCTTGGAGGACCAGGTATTATCAGTTTCCAAAAATGCCTTTTTTTCACCTCCAGCTTGCTAGGAAAATTTGTCTCTCCCTCCCAGATGAGGAGCTGGCCACAGCGATCTGTGCATTTGTTACCTCGAGGCTGGATTACTGTAACCTGGCTGGATAACTGTAACTCCTTGTATCTGAAGTTCAATGTGAAGATAAGCAAGCTCCAACTGGTACAGAATGCGGGTGCCCACCATCTCCATGGTTTAGGCTGCTGTGAGCACATCAGGCCTTGGTCCTACTTTTCAAAGCAATAATAGAGCAAACCCCAGCTACACCAGATTTGGATCTGTGACCATCGTGCTCCTATGGGACAACGTAGGTCACAAAGTCCAGGATGAAGTATATGAACGCTGGGGACAAAATATTCTTTGTTGAGTAGATCTGGCTATGGAACAATCTTCCAGAGGCGATCATGCAAATTCAGTCTGACTGTCTTTAGGCAATGCTGCAAAATCTTCTTTGAGAGAAACTTTCTGCTATGAGTGACGCTCACAATTTGAATACTCTGCTTCTCCTATCCCAAGCTGAGTTTTAACCCCAAAAAGGGAGAAGTATCAGAGATTCTATGGATTTGTCTACAAGAGGACACTCAGGAAAGGTAATCTGAATTGACTAAAGGTGTGAATTTAAAGTGGATTAGTTAAACTGCATTAAAACCCTGTGTGGGTACTCTCATTCAGAAATAAATTTATTTTAATTTGGTTTAGGTTCTAAACAGGGATTTAATGCAAGAAAATTGAATCCATTTTAAATTCACACTGTTAGATAATTCAGATTAATTTTTCTAAGTATCCCCATGTGGCTATTGCTATTGATTTTATGGGGAAGGTGCTGATATACTCTAGTGAGGGATGGGAAAACCCAAAAACAGCCAGACTTGTAGTCAATGGAGTTACTCTGAATTTCCATAATATAAGATCAGAATTGTAAGTGAAATAAGATTCTGCTCTTTGGGAAGGATTTTATGTTCTTGGGTCAGATCCTTTGCCAGTGTAAACTGGCATAGCTCCACTGAAGCCAGTGGAGGGGATCTGGCTCCTTCCTAACAGTCGGCCTCACAAACTTCTGCTCTGAGGAAAAGCCTCAGAACTTCTGCTACCACGACATTTATGAAATAAGTAAATCAAATGTCTGATGTTGGCATTCTTGCTGGAAAGTTTGTCTCAAATCTCCTTTCTTGAAAGACCAAGTGATCTCACTCAATTTACTGCACATTTAAATAGAAAATATAGCTAGCTAAAAACTTACTTATGTCACTTAATCAGCCTGATCCAATTTCCACAAATTTAACATCATATCCTTGACATTCCAGTATTGCAACACTTTTGATATAGTCTCTAATCAGCAGAACTTCCTAACATATGCATATGCAGATAGAGAATTTCATTAGGAGATATCTTCTTGATGTCTCATTGCTTTCTTTTTCATTACAGAATAAAGCAGGCTATAAATCTGATATACTATAATGAATTATGGAAAAGAGGTATCTGACTAATTCCATTTTTAAAGTGCATGAAAAATGTCAGTACCTATTCTTGGTATTGCAGCCTAAAAGCCTACCATGTAAACCCAGAAGATATAAGAAAACATTGTTTTCTACTTAGCTGCAAAGTAATTTTAAAAGTGTATATTTGCAAAGAATTTGCAAAGCTAGCAGTATATTACTGGTTAAATTAAATATCCATAGCTTGTAGAATAATTCAATCATGTACTAATTAGGTGCACAGAAAGGCCATTATGGATAAATTATATATCCCCCTGTTACAGACAAAGTGAATAAATGTTAATTGCTTATATTATGCAACAAATGATTTTTTAAAGATGGTGTTAAATTAGATGCTAATATTATAATTACAAAGTATTGGGCAATTTACTAAAGATTAACTATTATGATAAAGTGCAAACTGTAGAACTTGTGCAAGGCAGTACTAATGCATTTTGCACAGATATGAGAACATTAGCAGTTGATACCTGCTATCTAATGAAGTACTTTCTGTATTGCATAAAAAGCACCAATAGATTTCAGTTAGTGTATGTCCATATATAAATGAAAATCATACTGCTGTAGTGTAGCAGCCATTCTGATATGTTAATAAAGCCCAGAATGTTGAATACTGTGCCATTGTAAGGACTTGATAATAATCTCAGGCACAAAAATGTGGCTTATCAACTGTGTCCTGGAGTCTCCTCTCAGAACTGGAGCAGCATTGGGGCAAGGCTGTCTTTCAAAAGACATTTGAGCAAGTTGGATGTGAATACAGGCCATAAAATCCAAAAAAGGGGGCACACTTTGATCAGAAGTAAGAAATATTAGCTTTCATAAGTAAGAAATCTAATGCACCCATTATTTCTATACTTCTTTCTGAGTCCAGTGAATTAGACTCTCACATACACATTATGTTGTGGTATACTCTCGGTGCATTTAAAAAATTTGGTACAGTTCTCGACATATTAGTGAGTCTAGCGGTGTTCCCCATTTGAAGTCCAGGAAACCATTCTGAAATCTATAATCTCTAAAACCAGAATGAATTTTAAGTGTACCCACTTTCTATCTTGGGCATTTTTTAAAAACTTTTTTAGTATCTTAATATTTAATCCAAATTAAAATTTAATCATTAGAAATTGACAGGAGAAAATGCTGGAGAATGCATGATTGGGAAGAATTCTGGACTTTTGTGGAGATGGAATAGCTAATCTAACATTATCACTGTGGCAGGTGTGGGGTTTTTTGTTTGTTTCTCTTTTTGAGGGGAGCACATCACATCTAAAAAAGCCAACTTTTGATCCCCCTTTCACGGCTCATTGATAGACATGCCATGTGCCACTAAAAGCAGCAACCCTAAGAGCACAATGTTGCAGCAGACACTATGTGGCTCAAGCATCTACTATTCCTAGATTATTTGAAATTTCAACAATGATATTGTGAAAGAGGATGGCAAATATACTATACTGCAGATTGTATTTCCTATTCAGAGTGAAATCTGCCTCTGTGCAGAGAGGATGAGCAAAGGCTTATGCACAGCTTGACTGCTATTTGAACAATGCATACGGGGGGTCTCTGTACAGGAGTGAAATTTTACCCATGTATTAGTTATGTGCAATTCAGCCAATTTCAGCCCAACTCTGAGCTTTGCTTATTGATGTCCATTCCTATTCAGTTACCAGACTTAAACAAGTGCTTAAGTTCCATTGATATGAATGGGACTTACTTAAAGGTAAGCATGTGCTGTGCTAAATAAGGATGGCTTGCTGAACCAGGGTTATAATGCTTGTAACAGTTAAAATAAGGCTCTATAAACTTTCAGAAGATAAATGACAAGGAAACACATTCTAGATTGGAGAATCAAATCAAAATACACTGTTAAAATAGGTTTCATGTAGTGACACACATAGGGAAAATGAACTTTTGTTAACAACAGACCAGATGTAGCATATGGAGAGAAATGGAAATCTTACCCGATCCCCATACACAAATCTTTTGAAACAAATGTGGCAGTAGATAATTATTGCTGTGCAGCCCTCATAGAGCTCAGACAGATACTATTTGTACCTATAAAGATTCATTACTGAGCCAGTCCTAAATTTCTCTATGCAATGACACAATAGCTTGTGTACTTGAAAATAGGGCTCACTGTTGCAATATGTAGGCTAGAAACTATGAGCCAGATCCTGGGGTGCAATAAATTGCACAGAGTGCAAGTAATGGCATATAAGCATAAAGTTCCCTTAATATGTACCTTTGCAATCTGCAAATCCTGCTGCAACTGTTCGCAGGGCCACTCTCCCTGTACCTTCAGGCTGCTCTCACTTCAAAAGGGCTTGAGTAGCCCCAGCAAGGTTGAGAACACAGCTGGGGATCAGCAAGGCATCTCAGCCACGTATCATTTCCTCCAACAACCCCAACCACTTTTCTCTCTGCCCGGAGGGAGAATGACATACAAACCTCTCTGCTGGCTCAATGCTATCAGGAGCATCTCCCTTATACAGGAATGATCCTCCCTAACAGGAGAATAACCTTTACATTCTGGTGACGCTCCCTGGCCCAAGATAGGTTAGTGGTGCAGTGCAAAGTGGTGACACCACATAGGACAATTTTGCTCTGTATGTTCAGAAGTACACATCACTATGGAAAAAAACCTCCAACAAAAGAAACAAAACCCTCAGCAGACTCACTTTAACCCACAAATGAGCAAGTTCTGGATGTGGCAGTTTTTGCATTCACAAACACCGGATATTGCAAAATACTAAAAATAGATATCAAAACAACACACATAAAATAGCACTGGCTAAATAAAATTCCTAATTGCTTGGCAAAACTATGTTTACATCTCATTTTGTATCTGAAAAGATATACTTCCTTTGTAGGATATGGTCAGTTGTTTTTGCCTTATTTGGATGTGAATTTGATACCTAATGAAGAATATTCCTCTACTCAGCTCCAACTCACCTGTGAAGAAAAATGCTTCATAATGTGTTAGATACAATATGTCTTTAGAGCTGCCGCATATTTCTGATGTACACTACGAACATGTTACATGCTAGTTTGACCTTTACTCTCTTTAAAGTGTTAAATGCAGTAGGAGATTTTCTAGTTATGTTAATGTGAAAAGTATTGATGTTGAGCTCTCCATAGTATCTTTTTCTCCCTTTCCTCCCTTGTACCCATCTTGTATTTATTAAAATATGGGTTGAATCCAATGAAGTGAGTTGATGAATCTCTCTCCCTACAGTTTGTGCAGTATTATTTTATCTTCATGATTCAGGTTCTACACCAACCTCTAGCTAATGGGGATTAGGAAGAAAATTTCTCTTTGGGCAGGTTATTTCATAACTGCCTACTGCAGGGTGTCTTGCACCTTCCTCTGATGCACTGGTACTGGCCACTCTTGGTTATATGATACTAGGTTAGATGAATCGCTGTGGTCTGATCCAGTAGTACAATAACTCTTACAGCAATTCTCAAAAAGCAGATTCCGGTATGCTGTGGATGTTCAAACTCTCACAAACTAGAAGTTGCACATCTGGAATTTGGGAGAGCCAATTTCAAAACACAGACACTCAGATCCATATTTTGGCACCTAAATACATATTTGAGATATTCGAGTGCTGATATACTCACCTAAATGTTGATTTTAGGGTCCCAACTATGAAAATACTGACTTAACAGCCGGATCCTCTTCTGGTGTACATCTGTGAATGACTTCAGTGGAGCTTTGCTGATTTACACCAGCAGAGGATCTCACCCTAGGTGTCTGAATCAGTATTTGGGTAACCATTGCTCATATTTAGGTGCCTAATCACGGATACAGCTGTGTAAAGGCAGGTATCCCATCTAGTCCTGTGAAACTGTAAAGAATTAGAAAATCACTTCAAGGTACAAAAGGAACAGCTTGCATAACTGCCCCTGTGAATGTACGCTTTTCTAAAAGCACTCAAGGGCTGTAAAAATGTGCATAAATGGCAATGTTACTGTATGCCTGGATAGGCTGGTACTGTTCACTTACTGTATCAGTGAACTCTGAAAAATTGTATTACAGCAACTTTCATACTATGTTTGCAAGATTCATTCTCATTAATACAGTGTGAACTCACTACTTAATGGTATTAACTCATTAACATGTTGAAAAGTCAGAATTCTAACACTAAATGTTTCATGATAATACTCTAAGCATCTTGTTCCTTTTTGTCTTGGTGGTGCCAGATTGTTTTTCCAGCATTAAAAAAACTGGAATGCTATTCTGCTTGTCTTGACCACTTTCAGTTTCTATATGTGTATGCTTTTGCTCAGGGGTCAGCAACCTTTCAGAAGTGGTGGGCCAAGTCTTCATTTATTCACTCTAATTTAAGGTTTTGCGTGCCAGTAATACATTTTGACGTTTTTAGAAGCTCTCTTTCTATATGTCTATAATATATAACTAAACTCTTGTTGTATGTAAAGTAAATAAGGTTTTAAAAATGTTTAAGAAGCTTCATGTAAAATTAAATTAAAATGCAGAGCCCCCCGGGACCCCGGCAGTGTGAGTGCCACTGAAAATCAGCTCACGTGCCACCTTTGTTAAAATTTTGTTACACATTTTTAAAGACCAAATGCAAAAATATCAAATCCCTACTATGCAAATATGTAGCTAATTAGTAATTTTTGCTAATACCACATAAACACACACAAGTACAATGACATCTTGCCCTCCTATTCTATACTATCACACCCAGAACTTGGTTGATATGATATATGGTTCGTCTCTTGAATCAATGTCAGTGCTTGTATAAATCTAAGTGCTGAAAGAGATGTTTTACTCCCTTCCCCCTCCCCCTCCCAAAAAAATTAAAGGCAAATGTCTTTACATTAAATCTTATAAAACAGTACGTCATAATTATCATCATAGCCTGCAGCATGAAAATGGCCATTAAATGGTGGAAATGGTTACGAAATTAAGTAAATGCGATAACAATCCCAATACTTCATATATTTATCAGTAATCACTGTACTCATACTGTATCGTATGTATATATTTTCAATGGCACTATAAATACAGTTGTCAGAAAATACACATATTAGTTCTCAACGCATCTAATTACATCCTAGTACCTTTCCATCATAGTTTTAAAACACATCAGTGTTTCCTTGATTTAAATCAAAAACTCTCATCAGAATAAAATGAAGATTTTGACACTGTCTAGTATAGAAAATCAAAGTGAGAAATGACTGAGAATGTTGTTCTAGATTTCAGATTGTTTTACATTTACTTCTACTGTGATAGCACAATTTAAAATAGTAAACATAATTAAATAATACACGGTTTATGAAGCATATTGTACTATAGAGGTCTATAATTCATGGAGACCACTTTTTGGGTGGGAGGAATCCAAACACTTTATATCTCTGACACCTAGATGGAAACAAGGTCCTCTCCAACAGGAAACAGGTAAAATATGTTTGAACTAAATTAGCTTTTTTCATATATAACTGCATTCAGCTGATTAAAACGTTATAGTGTTTACTTATGGTTCCTTTTGTCAGACATTCATCCAGTAAGCTTTGAGCATATGGTAATGAAGCAGGGAAACGTTTGTGCAGCAGGGAAACGTTAAGTGTTTCTAAAAAAATTTTTAAATGGTAAAGGCAACTATATTGATACATTACAGACATACCATATGCTTTTCTATATTGTGTCCTAAAATCTAAACAGTAAGAGCGAAAACAAAAGGGTCAAACATGCTCTTATCTTCTTGGCCACTTAGGAACATTATGAAACTAGTAGAGAGTACTTCACTTGACATGGTTCACCACTGTAGATTTAGGTTATTAGCTGTTCACTAGAGAAATACCGTACGTATTAACTTGCACCAGAAGAATGATCATTCATTTGAATTTATCACAAGAATTTAACAAACAGAAACAACCAGTGAGATTACCCAGTGAGAAAAATGGTAAAAATGCCAACACAGTAATTTACAATTTTAGTGTTGATTATTTCTACTCCAATAACTTAAACTACTCAGATCCCCTGTCATCATTCCCTTTATATCTTGAGTTGATAAGATATGATCAAGGACCTTCTTCAGATACAGTGTCAGGGCTGACAATCACAATCAGCCAATCTCAGCCTTTTCTTTAGCATTCATTCTAACATACCCCATCTAATCGTAGAGAGCCATTTAATTTTGTTTTCCATTGGGTAAGGCTGTAGGTATAAATGATAATGGACAGAAATTCTTGGACAGTTGTTGCAATACAACGCAGCTATGACAGACAGTGCCACAAAATCGCTAGTGCCGTTACAATGGAGAGTGACGAACTTGAGGCTAGATTGCCCACATTTCCGGCTAGATCATGTTTAGAAGATGACTTGGTTGTGGTTATGGTGGCCGTGGTGTCAATCTTTTTCACAGTTGGTTTTGGTTCATTCCTATCTCCTGAATAGGCCTTCTTTTCTTTGAGTACATCTGACAGAAAAAAAAGAAAAAGAAAAGAGAACATGATGTCAATTGCCCATTTTAAGGGGAAGCTCAGTACAATGTCTATTACTAGAATACCTTCTGAAGTAATCGCTCTAACTTGTATTACAGGTGCTCTCATCTGAGTGTGTGGGGAATAAGACTAAAAGTCCATATAGCAGAGCTGGTTGAAATGCAGGAGCAGCCTGGGAAGTCCCCCTGGAGATGGGGTCCCCTGCTGCAGAGCTGAGAGCCTAGAGGTCCTGAGAGCCCTTGCTCCAGCCCGGACTTCCAGGGCTACCAGCCTCCTCTTTGCACAGCATGGAGCCTGGAAGCCCCACGAGCCTGAGCTCGCTGGCAGGAAACGAGGCACACTTCCAACACAATTGTGTTTCAGTGGAAGTTCATTGAAACCGAGACTGTTGCCACAAAACACTTCACAACTAGTTTTAATGTATAGTACCTTCTAGTGGAAGGTTCCAAAACTTTGTTTCCTTCTAGTGCCCTCATCCAACTTCACAATGTCAAGTGCAATGGGATCTGGCCATAGGCCAATGATGTTTTTCTCCTGTGGTATTGGATTAGCAATTGATGGCACTGTGTAAGGTTAATCATGCTTTAAATCATAATTTTAGGGGTCAGGTCTGGTTTTGTATGGGGCACTGTGTTGGTGGGCTGCCCTGGGAGCAGACTGACACACTCACAGTCTGCTTCCTGGTTTCCCCTTGCTCTCTGGGGCCTGGGAATGTACCCAGCACCATCCCTTTACCTAATGCAATGTGTGTCCTTTGACATACTGATATAGCTGTGCTGACCAGTGTGGTATTAGGTGGAGCCAAGGCTCTACTATTCCCCAACCTTTCTGCCCAGATGAAGTGGGTGGGGATGTAGCAGCCTGACATAAGCTGCTTTCTCCCTGATGCATCTCCCCATTGAATGGGTAGATGACACAGGCAATAAAGAGATGTCCCTTTGCTCCCCATTATGAGTGCATAATCAGGCTCAATGAGAAAAAATAATCAGAAGGTAAACTTGAAATATCTTTTCCCCTCAAACCAATCAGATAAATCTACAAATATTCCCCTATTGAAGCAAATAGCTTGTTTAGCAGCGTCAGTTCTCATTTAACTACATTTCCTGGCCATTAATGAGTTTGGTTTTTTAAAGGATGAAATATTAACAATTTAGCAATGTTATTTTCCCCCATACAAATTTCCTATTAGGACCCAAACCCATTAATTCCCTTTCATTCCTGAAGTTACTTTGTGAGAGTCTGTGGCTCTGTTTCTTCCTGCAGATCTTGCCTTAGGGCATGTTTTTTGATATTTCATTCTTATTAGCTCTACTGTGCCGCTTGCACACTGTCCTATTTGTTTCCATTAGGATTATTCAAACATGCTTTGGAGTACGTTTGATGCCTGGTCTCTCCGTGTGGAGATGGGTGTACTTGGATTAATAAGTATTAGATGATGTGCTAGTCTTAATTTGTAACGGGTGCACATTAACACGTATGCATGTGTGCGTGTTCAGTTTTGAAGCATGCACAAGTGGAGCCTGAGGCTTAATACATCCAATTAATCAATGGAGGCTGGTGGAAACCAAGAATCTGACCCAACATCTCTAAGGATAAGTGCAAATGAAGTCAATTTGAAACCATTTTCTTCTTGCATGGAACTTGTTAAAAATTATTTCCTTAGTGGATTCCTATACAAAATGTGGACTTTTAAAACAATGAGATGACTAATGATGGTAGTTTTGGAAAGTCCAAGTAAATAAAGACAGCTACTTGTGTGTAGTACCGAAATCCTGCTGTCCTTGAGTTTTTTTATTAGCACTGTTAGAAAAATTACCATTTCATCCAATATCGAGTGCAATTCATTTGAAAACACCCAAGTGTCTAGCAAAACCCAAAAGAGCGTACTAATTAGCAGCCATTGTTCATGTCCATACTTTGTGAAAGCAATGAATGCAATGTATATTGGCACAGAGAGCAAATGCCTAGATTTGTAATATGGATTAAGCAACAGCCTGATTTTAAGGTAACTCCGAATTATAGGAGCAAATTCGTGGAATGGATTCCAGAAATGTAAATGCAAACTGAGATCATTGTCTGCAAGTCAGTAGTTTTCAACGACCATCAATAAACTTACTTCATAATAAAAATGAGCTATTGCATTATAAAATATGCATTGTTCTTTCACCAACCTAAACTGTAAAATAAATGCAAGGCATTCCTTCATATGTCTCAAAATATCAACATTAATCTGGGAGGAACTAATACTTTCTAGAACTGAAACAAGGTTGAATGCAGAGAAGGGATTTGGCAGATACACAGTGGAAACAGATTAGCCCCTCCAGCTGCTCTCACAGTTCCACTATGGAGCATATAGCTATAGTTTCTCTTCAGTAATAATTTTGTGGTAGAGTTCATAGAAGGAGGGGGAAAAACATGTGGTAAACATTTAGAAAATATCAGTATTCTGAGAACACAAGGAAAAACAGACAACCTTCAAAGGGTCATTAAAGTAAATTAAGAATAAATCACTGAAATAGGTGTGTTCTGACAGTGCTTAGCTTCCCCTTCCATCACTGTCATTCTCCTTTTCAACTGTGGTAAAGGCAGCTCTACTTCTGTTTCTCTACTGCGGTTTGTATCATCCCAGCCTGCTGACTTCAGCTCTCTTGGGCCAGCTGATTAAATTAAGACCTCACTCAGGTAAATCTATCCCCCTCTTTCACTTGGCCATGCCCAGCATTGTAACTTGATTGGCCTCTATAAATCAGGCAGGGCTGAAACTGTATTAATTCATTTATTTTTTTTATATTGACTTAACCAAAAACCTAAGGTAAGATTTAATGCTATCAGGGAGGCTGTTGGTTTTTAAAAGCCTTTGTCTCAGCAGTGACTGCTTAATGCACTACATAACAAGCGCTAAATAATACATTAGAAAATTCTCCCTTTAACATTTCCAGGGGAAGGACTAACATTTTAATCCTCTCTCTCTGCCTTTATAGCAAAGGGTATTCGCTGATGCATTTCTAATTTGGAGTTTAACTGTGCACAACAGATATTTTAAGATGCACCGTTTTAAAAAGGACCTACCGTGGTTTAAATTCTTTTTCAAACATGTATTTACTTTTTATTCTACAAACTTAACTCTTATAAGTATTTAACATTTTATTGCACTTTGATGAGTGTTTCCATTACTTACTCATGTGTTTTGGTTTTGGTTTTTGCTTACTCATGTCTCTCATCTCATCATAATTGGGTCTGCTTATGTTCAGTTTCGCATTGACATTCCCATAGGAAAGAATAGTGGTTGTACTTAAACATGTGTCAGTGTTACCACTGGCTAAACAAAATCCCAATCCTAGTACTGCCAACCTCAAACCTTCAAAAACCAAGAGTCAAGCCCCAAAAAGTCATAATATTTCTTTTAAAAATAAACTTTGCATTCTTTTTACATTATTCTTCTGTTTTTTTGAGACTTTAGGGTTCATGCTTTAAAGTTTTTCTCCACAACCATGACTTTCAAAAAATTGAAAGCTGAGAGTCTTGTGTAATCACATGGCTCCAGGAGCTCGAGCTTTAAGAAGATTCCAAATAACATGAGACTTGTGATAAAATTGAGAGAATTGGCAACACTGGATCTTGATGTTATGTTTTATTTATTATATTTCAGTTAATTAATTAATTAATTATATATTTTTAGTAACTTCACTGTATTTAATATAGGGAATACCTGTGAAGTGCAGCATTAGGAAATGTAGTTTGTAAGTTCTTTGGAGCAGGACCATCTTTGTGTTCTGTGTTTGTATAGGACCAAAGACAATGTGGTCCTAGTCCATGACTGGGGCTCCAGGTGCAACCACAATACAAATAATGCTGAATTAATGTTGTCTTAGCCAAAATTTTATAGTTTTAAAAAGTGACGACTGCACATGAACAGGAGGATTTGAGTAGTTCCAGCTGTCATGAGATGATCTTCAGAGGATTAAATGCTTTGACAGAGGCACTAGGATAACCAAGGTGAATTTCAGTGTTTTACTTTCATTTAGAATTATTTGTTGTGAATAATCTGATTTGTTAGTCAGATATGCCCCTTTTTCTGTTGGTAAGTTATCTGAACACATCATGATTTTTTTACTAATTTGTCACTCAAATAGTATTATTTTATGAACAAAGTTGAGCCCATGGATTATTTGTGTGCTGTCCATGGTGAGTAGTCATTCAGGGGAAGACCCACCAAGAGAGACAATGAAGGAACAAAAAAGAACAGTGGGGAACAAGATTTCCAGAATGAGGGTGTGAAGTATGAAGCACAGCAGACAAATCAAGGAGGATGAGAATGGAGTAGTGGATGTGAAATATGGCTAGGAAGACGTCATTGGAGATGTTGGCAAGAATAGTTTCAGTGTCATAGCCAAAAGAGAATGAATAAATTTAAGGAACAAGGAAAAGGGAGGAGCTGGAAATGAGACAAGTGAGAAAACTTGGTGGTGGTGGTTATATGGCAGAGGAGGTGACAAGTGATAGAAGGGGAAGAGGAGGAGTTGGGAGATCATGGTTGAACTTTGGCAATCACTTTGATGTCAGTAAGATGTTACATGGTGAGAAATAGGTGGTGTGAGATCTGAGGGTGGGAAAGTAGTGCTGTGTGGCTAGGAAGATGGAAGAACTGGAGGAAGAATTAATTTATAGCAGAGGAAGACTGTACAGTCATAGGACCAGGAACTGAGCAAGCCAGGGTTGGATGTTTGTGAAATGGATTTTGTGGTGAAAGAGGGCCAAAAGCCAAGAATGGCGAGACTCTGAGTGTCTGTCTTCCCTCTAATTTAAAGTTGTATTTATTAATTTTGTTGGAAAAAGCCATGAGTTGTAAAACACTGTTACTTTCTTCCTCCCAAACATACCATGTCAATACACAAAGTATTGCTGGGTGATCACCTTACATTTTGATTGAGTGTTTGAATGTGAATATACGATTCTAGGGAATATACGTTTATTT